CCGCCCCATTTTGGCGCTTCCTCTGCCAGCGGGCGCACGATGTGGCCGGGCCGGTTCCCCAAGCAGGGGGAGAGGCTGTCTGTTCCCTCAGCCCCCCCCCGGGGGTCGTCTGGCACCTCCGCCCCCTCCCCGCGATGCTGGCGGGGCTCGGCCCGGCGGGGGCTGCCGGCTCTCCCCGGTCCCCTCCGCCTCGGCAGCCCCCAGCCGCCGGGGGCCGCCCTGGGGGGCCCTTCTCCCCTGCCAGGAGATGGGGGGGCTGCGGTGGACCCCGGCCCTACAGACCCCGGATGGCTCCCGAAAGCCAAATGGGGTTTCCCCCGGGTGGGAGCATCCAAGTGTTTTTGAAACACCGTCACCTGGCCCGTTTTTTTGAGGGTAAAAGCGTGGGCCTGGCTCTGCGCAGCGTAGGCACGTCCCCTTCCCTTTGCTCCTGTCTTCACCTAGAAACTCCCTTAAAGAATTATGTTTGTGTTGATTTACCACAAAGGGGAAGACAACAGGCAAGGCGCTGGGATCACAGCACAGCTTCAGTGCAATTTGGATATTTCTTGGATTTTTAGTAATATTATTTATGAGATTATTATTGAAAAGACTAGGCCTGTGTAGTATCATTTTGTGGTAAACCACATTCATTAATCAGCTACTGAATATATCTCCTTATAGAGATGTTTTACGGGAAGCTAGCCTTGGCCATGATGACTTTTGTAAATTGCGGGATCCTTGTATGTCCAGTGTCCAGACTGGTCCAGGTCGATGCTTGTGGCGTAGGAAAGTGATGGGACCTGCAGCATCCCCCCGGGGAAGGCACGGAGCTGTGGTGCTGGAGTGGCCCTAGAGCTGGCCAGTTCAGGCGGGCCGTTGTCACACATTGAAGCCAGTGCCAGCTCCTTCAGAGGAGGTTTCAGGATCTTTTCCAGTGGTTCGTGCTGATGGATGTAATGTCCCTGCAGGCTAGCTTATCTGTTACTTACAGTTGTTTCATACCTGGAAAATAAATGTCCTGAATGTCTAATATCACTTGTGGAAGGGCTTAAAAGTAGTTTATTTCTTACAGCTCCACATATTCTTGCCATTTGTTATCTGTGTCCAACTCGTTCCTTTAAACAATAAATCTGTAAGCTCTTGGCCTCAGTCGACTTCCATGGCATTGAGCCCCTCTGATGACTTATGGTGCCCATTTTCAGCCCGTTTTGCCAAGTGTTGAGGATTGCCAGAGGCTGTAGCTGTTGCCACTTGCAGCAGATGTCACTTCCAGCTCCCAGTGCATGGTCCTACTGGCCTCTGTCCCCAGACTCCTCTTCAGTGGAAGAGGACCTACCAGCATGTTTGCTCTTACCCTGAATGGCCAGGCTATTCATCAGGTCTTTGTAAAATTGACAAGCTTCTGGTTTGTGTTTCTCTCTCCTTTTTTCACTGCTGCTCATTTTTTTGGAGTCACTGACATCCCTTCAGGTGGATCTCAGCATGATGGGAAGACAATTTGCCTGCTCCATAAATTGCTGGTAGCCCTGTACACTGCTTTCCACAGACCCAGCTGGCTGTTGGGTGTGGAAGCAAGGACCCAGATCTGAACAGACTAGAGATAGTATTTTCTGTGGTGGAGGATGAGACATTTCCAACAGAAATCTGCTCATTTTTTTCACCAGAAATGTTTGCTCGTTTGTTTCCAGCCCACAGGAAATAAGGAGGAAAAGCACTCTGTTTTTCCTGGATTAAGCTTTGATTTGAGACAAGACTTTATGAGACCTTACTACTTCCATTTTTAATCGCTCTTGGTGAACTCATTTACTATAAATTTGAAACGATCTGAGATCATGTAAACAAAACCAGCCCAAGCCTGTAGCCCCAAGCCATCATGACTGCCCTTGCTCTGATCCCTTGGCCTGGGAAGGTGCCGGGGCGGGAAGCTGCCGTTGGTGCTCCTTGCTGCAGACTAGGGTATGGCTCTCCTGGCCTGCAGACCAGAGTGCTGTTTGTGGTCGTTGGGGTTTAGCAGGGCCCAAACACCAACTTGAGGTGGTGCAAGAGCCTCATGAAGCAGCTGCTGTGGGCAGGAACCTCCTGCATTCGCAGCAGTGGCCCCATGATTTTCATGCGAAATGCTCAAAGTCTGTGTTCTGGTTTGAGCAACACAGGATTAATTTATCTTTCAGTAATTTTACTTTGCAGTAAGGTCTCCTCTAACACTTGGTAAAACCACACTTTTAGACGACTCTAGTGTCTGAATTTGTGGAAATACATACTTTCTAGCCAGCTATGGTACGTGGGTTCCATTGTGTCAGTGTTTTTGAGCTCACCAGGTGTGGGGATGAGGAGGAGTGAGAAGAGGGCACTTGACCCAAGCTGACCAACAGGATTATTTCATACCATGAATGTCACATTCAATATAAATTAGAAAGTTTGCTCAGGAGTTTCTCCTCTTCTATGATGGCTGCCATCCTGAGAACTTCTTGCCCTGGAGCTGGACCCCTGAGCCCTTCCCTTCCTCCCAAAGTCATAGCACTCACAGTGTCCCACATTTGCTGTCCTCTGCTGGGAGTGCACGGCTTCCTGCTGAGAGAATTGGTTGAGTATAATCCTTGTGTATTTTATATTGGTATCGGGATCAATATTGGTTCATTTGTATTATTGGTATTAATTATCTAGTCTTACTCTATTAAATCTGTTTATATTTCAACCCTGGGGTTTCCTTGTTTTTTCCTGATTCCCCTTCCCTGGTGGGAGAGGGGTCATCGGGTGATAGAATAATTGTCTAAATGACAATAACTTATTGTGGATTCTTCAAACCATAACAGCCTAGCAAAGCCTAAGCAGGAAGAGCAGCTTTGGGTGTCTGTGCCAGTGTGTTCAAGAGGTAATGGGGGTGGAGGAGGAGACAATTGTGGGGCCATCTCCATGGGGGATGTTGTGGGTCTCTGCAGTCTTGGGTGGCTGCTGAGGTCAGGGAGACCTTGCAGCTTTGCCTTCCTGGGCTGCCCCAGCTTTGCTTACATTGCCTTTTGGGAGGGATGGGGCTGGCTCTGAAAGGTGGGTCTGGGGAGCCCCTGGGCAGCCAGGTTGTGTGTCAGGCTGCCCCAGGTACAGTTACCTTCCTGGCCTGTCGGGGCACATGTCCAACCCAGCTGGGAGGTAAGGGTGCTGAGCACACCCCCCACCCAGGAAAGCCTGAGGGGGAGGCCTGGAGGGTTTGGACACCCTCCCACATAAAGTCCTGAGTGACCTGGTCTGACTGGGGGGGAGCCAAGCAGGATGGTGTTCTTAAAATATAGTGATGTTTTAAGATACATTTTTATTGTTTTAAAGGGAGCATAGGCTTTTCAGCTCCCTTAAATTCATCAAGTGGCATGAAAAGTTAAGCCACTTTAAACCACTGAAAGTAGCATAAGCGTTTAAGCCACCTTAGATGCTTAAAGCAATATAAGCTGTTAAAATGCCTTTAATCTTTAAGTACTTAAATCACCTTGAGTCTTGGGAATTAGGTGAGAGACTGAGCTGCCTGGGAAAAAAAAAAAAAAAAAAGACCCCAACCCCAGTCCTCCTTCCGCCAGGTAACCTAGGAGGCTGGATTCAAGGCTGTATCACAACCTCCCTCCCCTTCCTGAAGAAAACTGAGCTTTTGGCCCCTGGGCAGCCCACTGGTTGGTTTCCCACTGTGGAAGATGGGAAGACGGGGATGGGTTATCAGCTGAGGGATAGCTGACCTCAAGGGCTTAGTAAGCATAAAGTTGGGGCTTGAGGAATCACCCTTTGGTTAGTACTATCGAAGAAGAATGATAAAGCTCTGGCTTCTTAGCTCGTTCTTTTCAGCCCATAAAATGGCAGTGGTCGGGACAAAACTGGCTTTCTCCCCATGATGAAAAAAGTCTTATGAAAATGTCTGCTTACCTTTAAAAACAGATTCCAGCATCACACTACCAGAGTATTATTACTATTTGAATCTTGCAGTTGTATTTGATAGGGAAAAAAAAATAGGATTGCACCGGTTTTGACGGGAGGCAGCTCAGCAACAGATCCCTCCTGACTCTGTTTTGGTGGCTGATAAGGTGGAATTTAACATTTTCCAGATCCAGGACTGGGCAGAGGTCTTGTTTTCTGTTACCACAACATTTAAAAGCTCCGTTGTCAAAAACTGCATGTGCTGTAGATATATCTTCCTCCCCCCCTTCCCTGATCTGAAAGGAACCCTAAAAAAATAATTTATCCTTTTATTTTATTTTTTTTTTCCTTTCCATTTGCAACGCTCCCTGAAAGGCAGCAGCAAACGCCTGGTGCAAGCGAGTGTCTCCAGCTCGCAGGGTGCTGCTCAAGGGGGGACATCATTTTTGGGCTATGGGAGAAGAACCTCTTGGTGGCGCCTGTGCACATCATGTGGGTTTTCTCCTTTGCCCAGTGACCCCGGGTGTCGATCTTCCAACGCGCTGTGTCTCTGCTCGGTGCCGCTTTCTCCAGAAACGCCGCGTTTGGGGACTGAAACTCTAGACCACCTTTAATCAGGGTTTGATGTCATGAAGGGGAAGGATCAAACTGGGGCTGATTGCTTTCAAATGGAAACAAAACCAAGTCACAAGGAGTTTCTTGGGGTTTTTTTTATTTTTATTTTAGTGGTCATACCCTCAATTTCTCTGCATTTAGCATCCTAAAATTTTCAGGCAAGTTTTTCCAATTCGGAATGTTTTCCATAGGAACATGAATAAATATTATTCCAAGTCCCTCCTTTTTAATGTTGCATTGTACTTCCCTTACATTAAATGGTAAATATAGGTACTTGGATGCTGTATTATACACA